TCCACGCGGAGCTCAGTTCGCTTCTGGACCGAAATTTAATTTCCTTCTCTATTTTATTTCAAAGAAAGTTGATGTTTTTCCATTCCCTATACTGGAATTTGATAAACTTCGAATGGACGTGCACAGAAATGAAAAGACTAAGAAAAAACGGTAGACGAGCATCTTGAATTTATATTTCATAATGGAAAAATGTGCGATACTTAGAGCTAGTTTGGATTTCAAGCGTGTGTCTGATGTTGATGAGGTCTCTAGTAAACGAACTTGACGTAAATGATCCATTATTTCAGAGATCAGCGAAATTTTCGAACTATTTAGTATTCTAGACCTATTTCCGGAGACTAATGGCTACCATCTTTCAACGGATTCAGCTTTTCGGTGATAGTGTTTCAAGCTCGAATACTTGTATAAACTAAATGTTCTGCCGGGGGTGCAAGTAAAATTGCAACTTGTGAGATGTCGTTCCGCGCCTTACGCTTCTCAGATGGCAGCTAATTTTGGAGGTTATTACGTTTCAAACATGCTTTCCTATGTATGCGCTTCGAAAACGTTTTAAAGTGGCTTTAGTCATCACGAACGCTTTAAGGCTAAATTGCCGCATTCCGTCTATAGCTAAGTAAATTGAAAGTGAGAATTCCTCACATTCGTATTTGGGAAAAAATTGAAAGCTTTTAGTAGATCAGGCCCTTTATTGCTTTATCGCGGGAGAAATGCTCCTTCTATATCAAGATTCGTTCTAGAAATAGGGCGATTATCCGTGTTATTTTTTGGGCAAGTTCCTTCAAGTATTCGATAAACATTTAACGGCAGGTAGTCTTGCAATGCTTCAACTAAATAACGTATTTAGGGGTTGGAGTGTGCTTTGTTACTCTCACACGTTAGAACAGTTAGCAATCCCTTTATCAAAACTATTGAGTAGTAAAATAAGAAGTAATGGTTGGTTGGACATTAATGGACTATTTTTTGTTGTGCTCGTTCGTGCATAATTGCAAATTTTAGTAACTTGACAATTCTAATTTGAAATTAACATCCTTTTCCGATAAGACCAAACATTTCACTGCAATGTAAATTTTAACGTGAAACGTTTTCTTGGCAAAATCTAAACGCGCTCTTTTAGAAAAAAAACTGTTTACTAACTGTATAGATTTTACCTTTTTTTGTAAAAAAAATGCCAATTGCTTTTGGAGCATGATACCTGTCTACAATCGTATGGGTCACCATGAAACATTATATCCCTATCTAATACATAGCTGGTACTTGTTTTAGCGTGAGTATCGGTGTACATTAACTTTGCGTAAGATCGGTGTACATTAACTTTGCGTAAGAAACACTATCATGATAAATTCGGTACATTTAAGAGATTGTCATTATCATGCGATACGGAAACAATAAGGTTTTATAAGAAAATTACCAATATCAAATCCCACAATATATAATAGTTTCAAATTGAAAGGCACTCTCAGAGGTTTTAAACGCACAGTAAGCCACTTTGTTCTAATTTGAATTACAATTTCCTTGTTGAACAAAGGTTTAATTCTGTTCAGTGGAAAATCAAATTCTCTCAACTCTCTTAAAATGTCTACTTTTGACCACTCACTTAACGTATCTGTGACCCAAAAACGAATGGCTTCTAAAATCTCCTCCGGATGAATCCCTACCTATCTTTCCTGATTAATTGACGTCCCAAAAGTGCGCTTTTTTGATGAAATCGGCCATTTTTTAAAACGAATTACTCTGATTTGTTTAACATTCATCAACTACGTTAACTCCATATAGTCCGTACCACCTTGACTTTACAGTACAGGACACATAGGGCAATGCAATCCTCATGGGAGTTTTTAGCGCGGCAATGCCAATTTTAATATGAAGTTGGCGAGATGAGTAAAGGGTCGAAAGAGGAAAAGCGAGGTCTTTTCCATCAGTTGAAGGGGCGAATCCGATCGAGAGTCATGCTATGTATGGTAACAATAGTTTCAGCTACAACTACAGTCAAAATGTGGTTGGTACGGTTCTGGGAAAGACGCAACCGTGCGATTTCCACGTTTTTGGACCCGTCGTTGTTTCATGTCGGACGCAGAGGTCCAGGAAAAGGTTTGTGATTGGATCGCCTCAAGTTCTATGGAATTTTGGGAGCGAGACGAGACAACGAAATTCAGCCCCATTTATATGAAACGGTTAAATGCAAAACTTCATCAAAAGAGTTCATATGTGCCAAAAGAGCCGTGGAGGCCACTTACCCCGTGTGCTATTACATACATAATCCTATCGCCATTATTAATTAAAACCTATGTTTTCTACCAGAATTACTTATTTCTTCAAAGCAAAGAGGAGCTTCTGCTGAACCTGCGAGTTTTTCCTTCACGGTTACCAAGAAATGTAATTCTATTCCTCTACTAAAAAAAGATGCAATTCAAACTATACTCGTACTATCGCAATCTTGACGCCAAAATTAATTATTAAAGAATAAAAAACCCATTGATAACCATTGCGTAAAAAGGACACATATTTCATGGACTCCAATCAACCAGCTAAATTCTTTACCTTTACTTTACTTTACTCTATCATCATGCATAAAATTTGTTTGAAAAGACACTTTAGAACGTTGACGTTTTTTACAGCTTTACTTATTTCTGTGGGAAAAATTGAAAAATTTAAATCGAAAATAAAACCTTTTGTCACAACCTTGTATACCACTCAAAATAAACACTTGTCTTCTGGACGTTGTGAACACAAAATCCTACTACAAGACTGATAGGAAGCGAGGTAAATTATTAAGAATGGTAGGCAACTCTCCTTTCCGCAAACACGAATTCTGGGCCTCGTAACTAATACAATTCGCGAGGAACCCGGAATAATGCACATAGTTTTGCAGCAAGTCCGTGCCGAAACGTGAAGTACCGACTACTTCAGAAAAGCGTCTGACCGTCTATCTAGGGCCACTTCTGCGACTTTGAACTACGTTCTTTGAGGGACTGGGCCAAAGCTCTAACGTTGTGAGTAATACCAAAATTGCGTTGAAGGCCTGCTACCTTCAGGAAGCTGTTTCGGAAAGGAAAAGGGCTAGTTTAATATATAATATTAATTGGACGAGTACGAGTCTTCTTGGGGGAGAATAGTCTGTCGGATAATTTTCCAAGGCCAACTTACCGGGGAAATTTTTCCGTAGCGATTTCTCCAAAGTAAAGAATTTCCTAAAATAAAAAGGTGAACAACTTTTACCTATTACTCAATCCTCAGTGCCTTGGGAAAGGAGCCAAAACTATGATCTGTATTATCCAGATATAAATATTAATGAATAATGACTTACTATCGGCCGGTATTATAAAGCATACTTAGTTAACTATGTTGTCAAGCTGACAGTGTTGTTGTATGTGATTGGATGTTTTTTCATTCTTTGCATCCAATCACATGCCTTAACAACATTGTTAGCCTGACAAAATAGTTAATTATGCTTTATAATGCCGGATGTACGTCGTTCAAAATTTTGAAGAAGTGGTTCTCAAGATCCCAACACCCCAATATTGTGTTGGAACCTTTCGAGGGAAGAGGAGGGACAAATTTGTAAGAGAACAAATTTGTTTGAGGGAAAATATCCATTGGGATAATTCCCAAAGGCGCACTTACTGGAAAAAATTTCGGAAGCGATTTCTGTCAAGGGAATTTTTCGAGGCAAATTTTCCTAAAATAGCCTCTGTCGGAATCTGCTTTCCAATGTTGGATGTATCCCATTGTATTATAAATAAGGGATGTGTTCCCTCAAACAGTTATCTTTTAGTTTGCGTCATATATACAATCGGAGCCGGCGTGGTGCAAACGAAAAGAATAAATTCATGATTTCATAAACCGGTGCTTTCATTTTTAAACGGTTGTTTCCTCAGGGCATTTTTTTTTATTTTGACATCACTTGTGAAAGTAAGATGAAGTTATCAATAAAGTAGTATATCATGTGAAAAGGGCTTTAAATAAAAATAAAGTTGATGGATTTCAGGATTTTTTCCCAAAGTCCCGGGTTTACGAAATTATGGATTTATTCCTTTCAATCGCGCCATGCCATACTGTCTATTTCTCGAGGTATCTTGTATTATTAGAATTTTCACACTAACTTTACATATTATTACTAGAGGTAATGACAGTTTTATTTGGAAAAAAACATGTGTCGTTCTCGAATTAAGCACCTAATACATTTTCCTACAGTGTTCTGACTTTTAGCATTGAATAAAAACACTATTTTATTCAATGCTTTTAGTCAATGGCCTTATAAAATCAGTTATGACTAATTGAGATGACAAACTAATTGGACTGTAGATGACTACTGCGATTACCTACCCTGTTTAAGGCCAATGATGCACGATCCATAGAAGTCTTACTGAACTAACCGAAAACTAATTTGTCTACTCGATAGAGTATAGTTGTAACTAATTAGTTCGGGTTCTGTGGTCATCCCAATACTCCATTTATACACATTGCAAAATCACATTGAAAGTAAGTGTTGTCATAAAGCAAAAGGATGTGTTCGTAGATTGGAGAAGTTCCCTGTTATGAACTTTCCTAAAAGGTCCTCTTTGCATTGAATTCTGTCGTTAAGTTTTGTTGCTAAACGCATTATTTCGCATAAAATGTCAATTGCGAAGTTCGGGCGAAAATTTATAGAACAACAAAGTGAACTGGGTTAGTTTTGGTACACCTTCTTCGTAAGAAAAACTCCCCCTTGCTTTCTTGTAATCGAATAATTTCTCTTTGTGTTACGCTAACAAGATTAATGTTGGGGCGAACGAAACAAGTTACTTAATTATGAAACTTCCTCGCTTTTTTTTTATTTCTTTGCCGTTTTCGCGCACGTTTGGAAGACGGTGACGTGCTGCCACAACTGCAAGGACTGCAGGGAAAGTAAATTGGAAACCCTTATTGTACTGCGGGCTCAATGGAAACTTTTGTATTATTTATAATTAGCGCCGAAAGGCGCACATGCGCTAAATTCAGAAATTTCACAGTGCACGTTGCGACGTCTTTTCTGACAGTACAGTTTCGGCTGCGGACGGAAATAACCGCGACCGGGCCGTCCCGACGCCCGCGTCCTGCCCTCGTACTATGAATACGCGGTGCCCTCTTAGGTAGGTACGGCATGCGGAAAGGTTAACGTTTGTTTTATTGTGTATGTGTACATAATATTTTAGTGTCCGCTCGAGTTTCTCATTATTTAGCTCAAGTTCGAAAATTACAGAAAAGTTACAAGTACGTGGTAGGGGCCTCAGCATTGAAAGGTAGAAGTAGAATTTATTTGTCAATGGAAATTAGTTTACCTATACCGGTCGTTACCACTTCGCTGCTACGGTTAGTAGGGTAGTGATATGGTGGTTAATAGTTTTTGTATACAACGTGAAAGATCTGATAAAAAAAAGCACGAGAAATGCGAATAAATCATTTAGAAACTTTTATACATTCGCACACTTCCTACCCGACAAGATGTTTTATTAAACGAAAGCTGAGATTTACACCTTTGTGCTTGGTCGGAAAAGCTCGCCTCGAATGATTAGGTTTACATTTTCAAACTGAAACATCGCCAAGCCCTGAAAACTTCTAACCCCGAATTTTTAACGAGGACATAAACAAAATAAAATTTTAAACTTTAATTGTTGCCGCTTGTCCCCCCTTTCGGTTGCCTTCACAGTCGACATATTATAAGGCGAATTAGTGTCGCAAAAATGGCATGTAATTAAAGAATTTGGCGCGTAATGTCGCTTTTGGCTCGACCTAGTTTTTGTCACACTCTTATAGAATATGTAACAAACACTTTAGTCATGCTATATTTACACACGCATTTTATACTATTATTTATCTTACCGGTTAGAAATATTCAAAAATTAATACGCTAATTTACACACCCCATAACGGGCTTAATTTTAATGTTTTGAATAATATATTTTTTGCCATATTCCGGGAAAACGAAGGGAATGAAAGTCTATGGCGTAGCGTAGAATAGCATAAAGAGTTATTTTTTATTAACTTACTGTAAATTTACACATTTATCTGAGAATTTGGAAATATTTCTGGGAAATGTACTGATTTTTCGGGGAATTTACAGGAAGTCTCATTTATGATGAATCCGTGTATAATTTAAAAATATTATTACAATCTTGCGATTGATACTACCAAAAGGTGGACACAGTTAACCGCTTCTGCTTTAATCGGTTTAGTTGGGTCATCACGCCCGCAACAACCCCGAATTTTTCCCGAAATTAAGCGATACCGGTGACCCTTTACTTGCCATTGCGGTTATCCTTGCAACTTACACAAAAAATATCTTTGAAATAAAATTACACCGTCACAATAACTTGTACCTTGTAATGAACCTGCAAAATTGATTAATTGATTAATTGATTTCGTAATTGGAATACCCTCGTATTTGTGGGAGGGTGTTTGTGAGAGGAACGTTATGAATAATAGTTATTTACACGAAAATCCGGAAAATGACACATTACAGGCGAGGAAATATTGAAGTGCGAGGCCGAGTACTTTAATTTCCGATTTCCGATTTTAGTTATAAAATTTCAATTTTTATATATAACTTTTGATTAATTAATGTCAATCTGCTTTGAAACATAAATTAGATGGTGTCGTATGATTACTGAAAAATTTCTTCCTCTCTATTTTCTGAAAATGGACTAAATCGACCTTTTTCTGAGCACCTACTTACTCGCAAAATTCAAGACAATTTTATGGAGAATAGGGGAATATATTGACAAAAAATTAATACAATTTACATCTCATTTTACAGGTTTTTTATTTACAATTTTCCTATGATTTTTATAAAACTAATTTAAATCAATTTTCGTGGCCACGGTGGTTCACCTTAATTTAAATTCAAATATTATGAAATGCAATGGTAAAATGTTCCTACAAATCACACCTTATATCTATTTATTTAGCACTCATTGACTTGGAGCTCCCTGTATTTAAATTAAAATAATATGAATTGTTAAAATTTACCAAATTAACATGCAACACTAACCGCTTCAAAATGGCCAGTGGTGGATACCCTTAAAGGTATTTCAATTTAACTTTCACTAAAAACGCAATTCTACTGCAATATACAATACAATTTAGGGCAAATTTTTTCTTAAATGTATTCCACCTCGAATTTTACATAAAGAAAAAATTAACGGTATCTACCTCATATACAAGAAATTTTCCTCCTGCGAATGATGAGGTGGACAATAAAACGAGCGCGGTCGGCTAATCATCGCTATTACAATTTCTCGAGAAAGGATAACAATTTCGGACGGCTATTTGCTACAAATGATTTAGTACAAAAATATTAAAATTTGTCTTTTTTTGTAATGGCTCTCCTACAAACTTTGCTTTTCGTGAAGAAAGCATCACCTTAGTGAGGAAATTTCAGAAAAATGAAAATTGGAAAAATGGAAAATTATATTTTGCACCTTGAATGAGAATTTCAATTTTTAAAGCGTAAATTAATGTGGTCGGTAGTTTTAGAGTAAACGAAAATCCGATCATATTAGGACAAAGTTTGTATCCGAGGGCTTTAATTATGCTAATTTTGTTTAAATAATTGGTTTGTTTAATTTGTTATTTTATTGTACATTTATTTTGTGGAAATTATTTGCGTAGTATTTGTAAAAGTTAATCTCATGTTTTTCTCCGGTCGTAGATAAGACGTTTTGTTATCGCTGCATACGCTGATTAAATTTCAGACAAGGGCGTGTTACTGAACACATGTGCACTTTGATCTTTCGAAGATACACATTGTTTTGTTAAGGAAGAAAGTAAATGGAAAGGGAAAAGGGTTTAAATATGGGAACTAGACGTCAACCACAGATTTTTTTTTGCTCAAGCCTTTGTTTGGTAAATGACGTGAATCGAGTTTTTTTGCACATTTAAAGATTTTAGCATTTTTTCCAAGACAGTCCGTCTTACTAGTTTGTAAAGTTTTATAAAGGAATTTACAAAAAATAACGAGTGCTAATGTTTGTATTAATTCGTTACTCGTTATTTTTTTGTAAATTACTACATAACGTTTTCCATGGAGACATTCATCTTAAATATTTTATAAAGGAAGTTAAATGTTGTATAAGAAAGTTGGTTTGTTAACGCATACGAAGTTAAGAAGGCGTTGCGCTGTCACGCATAAGGAGAGTTGTTATAAGTACCGGTGAAAGTGAAGTTATCCACCACTAAAAAGCCACATTTACAATTGGAATTAGAAAGGCAGTTCGTTAAAATAACAATTCAAGCGAAGCTAAAGAGTAGAGTTTGTGAAGCAGCGTTAGTTTAGTACTACTGTTGATTGTTTATACGTCTGTTTTGTTTGAAAATCTCAATTACGTCGAGAGATTTTGGATTATTGACACTTTAAGATTTGAATTAATTAATTGTCTTTCGATCGCTTGTTTGCGTGGGTTGTTTTATCTGACCCCAAGTACCTATTTTTCTTTCAGCCTAACTATTTTGTCAAATATGTAAATTATTGGTTTTGTGAAAATTACGATCTAGATAAGAGTTTTCATGTTAAAAATGTTTCTACCCAAAATTATATGAGGTGTTAATTAAAAATTGTGAATTAGTTCTTTGGAGATTTTGGATACGGTTAAGGCCGCTGATCTTTTTTGAAATTAATAACATTTCCGTTGGTATTTTCGTCGTGGTGGAGGCTAGACGTGGAAAGTGGGCATGAAAATTCATCATTACCATCTCGAGTAAAACATATTACTATTGCAATTTGGTGGAGGCATGTTAGTTTTACTCCTTTTTAAACATTTCCAAAGATACTGTCTGCGTCGAGATTTCTATCTGCCTCCAGTTGTTTTCGTGCAGAGTTGTGTCGTGTCAATAATGTTGTGTCAACAATTTTCAGAGTTATTCAAGGAGTCTTCGACATTTCTAATGAATACATTAATTCTCGCAAAAATGTGTAAATTTCCAGAAATATCTGGAGATCCTTAGATAGACTAATTTTAGGAATTCAGATCTGAACAAATTCTATTCACTCTAAATACATATAAAAATTGAAATGAAATATTTTCGTTTTGGTTACGTGCATTGTTATGTGTCAAAACGTCAAATAGGAAATGTTTTAAGATGAGACAAAACCTAATTACGGGAATATTTCATCGTTTCAGTCCCCGATAATGAAATAGTTAGTATCTCCCGGACGGATTAATGAATATAAATGCTGCCCTTTGAAGTAAATTGCTTTGTTATGGCTAACCGTATTAGAACATGCTTTATATGCATTGTAACGTTTTGTTACATATCTAGTCTGCTAAGTTGTCAGTTGCGTTGTGGCGTAATTTCTCCATGCAGAATATCGTATTAAGCACGTACATCAGGGGTGAGATTAAGGTACACTAAATTTGTAGGATTAATGTGGGAATATTGTACTATGGAAACGCACGCAAGTACAACATAGGCCGCAGATCCTTTCATTAGTTTACCGGATGAGTCCCATAGACCCGCATTCAAAGAACAAATTTACGGTCTGTTTAAAAGGATCCATGGGATTTCTCCGAAATCAAACTACTGCATTATTCTGTTCTATAATAATTTCGAGTAAAATGGTAAGCATTTGGTACGTTTGGCATATGAACCTTGCCCCTTATAGTTTATGAATTGCTAGCTTGGACGTCATCTGAAATAGGATACTGTTACAAAGAAAAGAATAACAATGAAAAATACCCTCTACACATTTTTCTAAACTTTTCTAAAAAATGCGCTGGTTTACTTGGTGCTTCAAAGGCCGACTTCCTAAGAATCAGAAACAAAATTACCAGTTTACTATGGACAACGAAATCCGTTCCATGTACCAATAATTATTACACATGAAAAACCGTGAAAGTTCTGGCATGCAAGAATTGTTTTTGTAAAAATTACGAAATACCGTCTTTTCTTCTTTGCATTTCTGTATTTTGCTTTCTAAAAAGAAGTACGGCAATTACTGGCTCAATCAATTTTTTTCACTGTCAAGTGCAGTTAGAATAAAATTTTGATAATCATTTTCTTTCAATAAGGCAGACAGTTAATATGTTGAGCACATGAAGAGACAAACACACAAATCAACTTACCATAGACGATGTCCATTAAGTTGGACCTAAAT